TAAACTAAAGCTAATCTTTCTTTTATTTTCTTAATCCATGATTCTTAAATGATTTAAGAAACCATTTAGATAAAGGGATTTTATGCTCAGGTTTCAAATCATTTTTTTATATATCAAACATTTTTTTTTTATATTATTATATATTAGGTATTATGATTGAAGATGCAACCTCTAGGATACAAGGCCACTAGTCTATTTTTTTCAATCAGTTGAGCCTAATTTGATAATCTGGGTCAGTTTCTTCAGTTTATATTTTTACTTTTAATTGGAAAATGACTTTATTCAAATTCGAATATCTATTTTTTCATGGGTGTGGGTACATATAAAAAATGATAGGTATTTGGTCACTCATGCCATCTGCTATCTGTGATTAGCAACTGTGTCCTCCAGGAGTGGTGTCAATAGGAGTAAATTCAAATGCTTCCTGTGAAATTGAGGCAGATGGGAAAGGAGGGTAAGTTAATGATATCCTTGACTCTCCCCCCCCTCCAGTTACAGTACATCTGGTGGCAATTCTGCTACTTATTCTTTTACTGCAAACATCTTTCTCTTTTAATTCAAACCACAAACCCAAAAATATGCAACATCATCTTCTCCCATCTCTCCCCCATTCATTTTGTTCCTTTACACTCCCATTTTAAGAGGGGCGTCATTTATTGACCCACATTTTACCAGACTATAAGTTCTTTGTGTCCTAGTTTGTATTTCGTCATCACTATAACACATTGTCCTCATCATAATCATATGTTTTAGAGTTTAGTAACAGAGCTTTCCAATATATACTCAAAGTGAATAGAGTAATATTTGAATTATTAACATTGAAATATTACTCTATTTGTAACATGAAGAGAAAGTACATGGGAAGGTGATTGAAATTTAATTATGGTTTGTATCTACTTGGAGATGATTGAAGAGACTTCAAATAATGACTGCTAAAAGAAAATGATTTTTATTCTGAAGTAAACAGATGTATTTCAAGAGTTTCTATATAATATTTATCCAAATAGCTTAGGACAATTTGAAAACAGGAACAGATATCTGTCTATATTTCTGAGATGAGGTATTGTAACTATTTACACTATTTACATTGTTCAGACTGTTGTCCTCATTTTTATTGTTATATCTATGACTTCAGCATTCTTCAGGTGATGTATGTTGGAATTTTGAACCGAGCCCTTTAGGAGGGTAGATTATTTTAGTTTCATGTGCCATATGCTGTTTCTGGATGTGTCAGTTTCAGTTATTTCCCATTACTAATTCAACTCTCCAAGTTTTTGTTCACTTCTGCTGTGGCCAGATTGTAAACTCACACTTTGTGTCAAATCACTTTTGGATTACTTCAACCAATGCTTTTATCCACTGGGCTGTGTGTCCTTGAGGACATTAGTGAGTGAATTTTTAGGACTTATAAACCTAATGTCTTGGTAACCATCATGCTTGGTTAATTCTTAGTTGAAATATGGAACTATAAGAGCATTACCTGTTTTGTTTTTAAATCTATGAAAAAAAAGTACTGTAAATAGTCTGTTATAAGATATAGAATTATTAATTTATAAATATCGTTTCTTGGCGTTGGGTTAGTAGATTTTATTACATGGAAAGGTTAATTTTTTTCTTTGTCTATACTTCTGAGATGAGTTATTATGTACATTAATTACATTATTCGGCCTATTGTCCTCATCTTTGTCGCCATATTTATTACAATGTTTTGGCCGTTGTACGCTCTTGCCTTCTTCAGGGGGTTGGAATGTTGAACTTAACCCTTTATTTCGCACATGGAACATGGAACTAGAACAGTCTATCCCAGTGAGCGAAATAAAGGGTTAAATTCAACATTCCAACCACCTGAAGAAGGCCAGAGCGTATAACGGCTGAAATGTAATAAATATGGTGACAAAGATGGTCAATAGGCTGAATAATGTAAATAATTTTTTTTTTTTTTTTTTTTTAATTATATTTGAATCTAAGCATTTACATGGCTTGGAGATCTGTAAATATTGGTTGTTTATTAATAGAGGATGGAAAGTGTGACACTGAAATCTGAAGGCACACTGGGAAGCCAAAGATGCATTCCAAAAGCTAAGCAGAGTATTAAGAAAAAGAAAAAAACTTGTTAAAAACAAAGAATATCTAGTCTCTCAAAAAGTAAATAAAGTATTAAGAAAATGTTGTTAGAAACAAAGAAAAGAATCCTGAACTGTTATGTAATATTAGTCCTCCTATATGGCAGTGAATATTGGATAATCTCCTCACAGACGAAAAAGAGACTTAAAGCAAGAGAAACAAAGAAAAGATTACTGAACTGTTACATAATAATATCAGTCCTCTTATATGGCAGTGAATGCTGGACAATCTCCTCAAAGATGAAGATTTGAAGCATCAGAAATGTGGTTCTATAGAAGGATGTTGAGTATACTATAGACTGAATATGTGAGTAATGATGATGTTTTAGAGAAAATGGAAACAGAAAGGAAACTTCAGGAAGAAATAGCTGAAATTTCTAGGACACATAATGAGGAAAGAGGGCTTGCAAAATCTGATTCTCACATGATGGATTGAAAACTAGAGGGATAGAGGGAAAAAAGCACATAACCTACTTAGTGAGATTGAGTAAATGGATGGAGGAACAAGGTTTAGGAGAAATAACAAAAAGACTATTAAGAGCTACAAAGGATAGGACGTTGTGGAGATCCATGATTGTCTATGTCCTGAAAGGCCATGGCACATGAAGATAATAGTCTAAGTATTGACTTGATAGGTGACCTCATTTTGGGGCTCTTACCCCTCTGTATTATCAGTATGTTGTAGGTCCCGACATAAGGGAAGTAGTGTGTCTACAAAAGAATGTAAGTCACTAACAGGATTAAAAAGCCATATCTATCTATCTATCTATCTATCTATCTATCTATCTATCTATCTATCTATCTATCTATCTACCTACTTACTACTTAGCTTACAAGTCAAATCACACTGAAAACACTACTTCTCATTCAATCACTGAACTTAAGCTGTGTTATGCTAAGTCAATACTAATATGGATACTGTAAGTGACCTCCTACAATTTGGCTTTAAATAACTCACAAAAGGGTTCAAAAGCTGTAAAAAAAAAAAAAAAATAAAACTACCACTACCTATCTATTAGCACTAAACCTGTTAAGATGATCTTGATTACCTCTAAACATTTTTATTTTATTTTATTCCCCCCCAACCTTATCTTGAACATGCATATGTAGTGAGACAATGGTTGGAAGTTATTTGAATACTCATAGAAATAACCAGAATGTATGATTTTCACTTGTATCCTCTGTCATATCCCTAGACATAAGGACTGGAATGATAAATCTACACTTGTAGATTAAATAAAGAGTTCAATTGAGAAATCCCTGTAGGTTACTTTAATGGATATACACTGGGATCAATGGTTAAAATGTTGTTATAAGAACAGCAAAGATGAGGGCAACAGACCGCATGTAAATAGAGTAAATAAAAAATTTGTTGTTTTTAGTTTTAGCTTTTATCTATTCAGTATACCAACATAATGTTCTCTGATTTACACAATCTTAGATCAATTGTACAGAAATTTGAGCTCCTGTCAGCTTCTCACTTGCATTAATATGCATAGCTTTGGATAATTAGAAATGTTTAATTGAGTATTGAAATTTGCCTTTATTCATATTAGTAACTGATTTGATTTTTATGGTTTATTAACTTTTTTGTGGGTTATTTAAAACTGAAACATTTTGGATTGCAGAAGGTCGCTTATAGTATTTGGTGTTTCCAAGCAACATCTAAATAATGACCAATCTTGATACTCAAAAATATGCAAATTCTGAGATACATCTTTACAATAAAATCAAAAATTATTCATACATTTTTTATAATACCGAAGAAAATTGTTTTGAGATATGGATATACCTGTTAATACATTGACCAATTGCCAGTGTTCTTAATTTTAAAGACTTACTGTAGTGAAAGAGATAATCAGGTACCTCGGACAAAAATTTGTGTTTTGTGTGTGATCTGCCGAAGAAGGATTACCAAAAAGTAGTCAGCAAAAATCTTATAGTGAAGAAAACGGCGACTTACCTCGTCAACCCAAGCGACAGCGCATTGCGTGTATTCTGTGATGGAAAAAGAAACAAATCCATCGCAGGAGTCGCTATAAGAGGATATTGATATGCAAATTACGGAGCATCCTATCCCAGCTGTGGATGAATGAAAAAAATAGCTTCTGCCGATAAAAGCAGTTGGTGTTCTCGATTCGGAGGAAGGAAAATTCAAGCATTTTTGGCTACGGCATTTGTTGGAGTGTGAGTTATTTTCCTGACTGGTTACATGCGTTGTGATTTAAGATAGTACCGGCGAATCGAGTTTTCAGCATTTCTTTCTGCCCCCGATACTCGAGTCTGTACTTAGTGATTTTTCTTTGTGTTGTGAAAGTAATCTGCGACAAATTTGCTTTGAGAACGCTTACATTTACACTTACAAAAGGCAAAATTGCTTGTGAAAAAGATTCCTTTGCCATTCTTCTCTATTCATCAATATCATTTAATCTTTTCCATTTTGCTGTGTTGCTTCTCAAAAGCTAGATTTCCAAATATGTTACAACAATTTAAAAAGTTGCCGTTTTTTTTGTTTTTTTTTAAAATATGAATGTTCACACAATAACGAGGCCCCCAAATCACTCAAGTTGGAGGGTTACTGTTAAAATGCTTATGATGAATGAGGTGTGTGATATGAATAAAAAAGGAGTTGATAGGAAGTGAAAATTATGAGGATAAGGGGGATGGATAACAATTGGTTGGTGGTTGTTTTTGTTATTTTTTTGTTTTTTTTCTTTAGATAATAATTGTTTTAGTGATACAAGTCTTACTGATTAACTCATAGCTGGATGGAAGAAGTGGATTCATGCCTTTTCCTTTTGCACGTAAGTGAATATAACAAACCCAACTGGAAATGGAACTTGTTTCTTAGATTAACAATTCCAAGCTGTTATCCATTACACCACCTGGTATTCCCAAGCGGTTACCTATTTAGGTACTGACCAGGCTCAACATTGCTTAACTTTGGTGATTGTATGAGAACTGGTGTTTCAACAGATAACAATTGACCTTTGACTTGAAAAGGTTAAGATAAGTTTAGTATTTAAGGAAGCATCTATGTGGAAGTCTGTTCCCAAAGATAGCAGTTCTTGGAAAAACCTGATTCAGAAGAACTTTATCCTTTCATTTGGAATACAGAGGAATTGGGGTGATTAGGCTCCATGTAAGTTGCATGGTGTGCTGTATTTGAAAAGGTCTGATCTGGTGGAACTAAAAGATGGGACTTATCTAAATGTTTGTCATGGAAATAGTGATAAAGTAGTAATAAAATCTCATCAAGGAAAGAGGCTGCAGAGTGAAAAATAAGTCAGTCCCCACAAGACCATGTAAATAATTTTGAACTGTATTAAAGCTGGACTTCCTCATCACCCTTCCCAAAACTAAATCTTCATTTTCAAAAGATCACCCTGACTGCTTGGAGATTTCCATTACAAGCTCTTTCAATCTGTTAAGTACTCATGTCAGTCCTATTGTCATGATTTGGAATGATATCTCAAAAATTGCAGGCATTTTGACCAGCAGTGAAGAGTAGAAAACAGGCCATCTTGTTGCAGGATAATATAAGACAAATCTTACAAACCACTTTGCAAAACTGATGCATTAAGTCATAAAGGTCCTGCTCCATATTCCCTATTCAACAAACCTGTCTCCTATATGCTAGTAAGTGAACACCAATGCAGACCAGATTGAAAATTTTTATTGTGGTAGAATGATTTCATTCTACCACAATAAAATTTTGCAATTTTGTAGCAGTATTGTAACACTTCTAATGGCATTTGTTTTAATTAATATGGTTATTTTGAATTCTTCTATGATGTTTTAAAGTTTGTGATTCAAAAAGTATTTTTTATATAAAACCTGAAGTTTTATATAAAAAATAGATAGATAGATATGGCCTGTAGACATAGAAGTTAACACTGCATGGTGACTGCCTCAAGTGATCTATATTTGTCTATATCTGCACATGCTCTATTTCTAGTATTGAGCACTCATCACTCATGAATATTTTAAAACACACACACACACACACACATATATATATATATATATATATATATATATATATATATATATATATATATAAGGGATTCACTTTTAACCCCTGCTAAGATGTTCATTTTCTTTAATTGGACTTGGGATACTCTAGACCAGTAGATATTAATTTCAAAATACAAACTGGGATGCCTACTTAAACACATATAACCACTAAAATAATATATAACCTGAAGAAAAAAATATATATATACACACACACACACACACAATCTCCAGGTAAGATAAGAACAAATGGAGTATAATCCACTGTCCGTAACATTTAATTTAAAAGAGGGCTCAATACATATTAGAGCTAAATATAAGCTCCAATAATAAATAATATATATATTTCTTAGTACTATAGTATTATGTTATTTTAATGTTTAAAAAAATAACTGTGTGTATGTATGCATGTATATACACACACACACACACACACACACACACACACACATTGTGCTAAATCATGGATAACAGTATGTAAATTTAGTCCTTTGTTGTAGGTAGCACCACCATACTGTGATGTCATGGAAATGACCAGACCAAGTATCATTTGATCTAATATCTGTTTAGTCCATGTGAACACTGGTTAGGTTGCTCATAGCAAGGCAATATGAATTATCAACAGGGCAGAATTATGACCTTTTGAGGCCCCTATGCTAATGAAATTATGAACCCTACTTAGATAGAACCACCCTCTATCTCACCTACACACATCTTGAATATATTTTTTTTTACTTGTGACATATTTTAATGACATTTACATAGCTTAACTTATTATAAGTTCCTTAAATAAACTAGAATTGCTATCTTTTGTTTGTCAATAAAAATATTCTTTAAGAAATACCACTAATTATTGGAAGCCAAGTTAACATATATTTTAACACCATTGTATTAAAAGATATTTTTTATAACCAACATTATAACACTAAAACATTCAAATAAATATGAGTTTGCCATATTGATATCATTTCAGTTTATGAAACTATTTAGAAGTTATAACATCTTGAAAAATAAAATCACTTTTTTGTCAAAATTACTAAGATTTAAACATTCTGAAAATTCCATGATTATCAGATTTCAAGGGGCATATTCAATTTCTGAACTTGTGGGGGCATTTGACATTACGTGATCTATGGCATCACATATGTACTGGGAATACCTGTAAGAAGGCATTACTGTCCATGGTGGACAGTGAAGTGTCCAAGTACAGGACCTTGATTATCATACCAAGAAACATTTGGCAAAAATTGTCTGTCTAGTGACAGGCAAGTGATACCTGGTTCAAAACACATCTGTATTCCCTGCATGATGCACCAGAAGCATATCTAACAGGTTAGTTCAATGATCTTTAGCTTCCATGGAATGTGGAAGCAGAAGATCTATGAAAATGTCTTTGTTAATACCATGACACCAGACGTAGGCTTGTAAGGTCATTAATTAGAACCTGGAAGACTTGTGATTAGGCTACTTCACCATTTGCACCCATTCATGGACTATTCAGAATGCTCCACAACCCAAATTGAGGCAACTTGGACCTGATAACATTACATTGTCCTGTTGGAATAATCTGTCATTGCTGGAATACATGAACCCGGTATCACTTGCCTGTGACCAGACAGACAATTTTTGCCAAATGTTTCTTGGTATGATAATCAAGGTCCTGTACTTGGCTACTTCACTGTCCACCATGGACAGTAATGCCTTCTTACAGGTATTCTCTGAAAGTCTCTGGAGAGATACTGAGATTTCGGAGGAAATGGTTGAACCACTTTGTTCACCTGGTACGAACCCAATTGAGCATTAATGGTATATGGTGGAGAGGTCTATTCATATGCAAATTCCTTCTCTTCTAAATATTTGGAAGCAACTGACAATTATCCAGATGACATGGCTCAGTATCTCTCCAGAGACTTTCTAACCACTTGTGAAGTTGATATCATATACAGTTGCTACATTTATCTGGACTGGAGGGGTCTTACACTATACTTGGAAGCAGTCCAATGATGTTTAGCACTTCATTGTTTGTGTTATATATATATATATATATATGAGGCAAATGGCTCAGTGGTTATAATGTTTGCTTTCAACCATGAGGGTTTGAATCTCACCATGTCAGGACAGTAATGTTATTGGTTTAGGTAGGTGATTACAGCACCACTGGTTGATCCAAGCCTTGCAAGTGAAATTTGGTAGATGAAACTATTTGGAGACTGTTGATGGTTGTATTAGTACAAAATCACAAGTCTTCATGATTGAGGGTTTGAGTGTACTGGCATTGTTCAAACTGCTTATCATAACAGATTATGTGCTTTCTTTCCCATAGTTGCAGTATAGATCACAGATAGGTCCTGTGGATGTTGAACAAACACAACTGTGCCTGAGCAGATGTCTATAACAGGGCTTGGCTAGTCACCCTTGTAGAAAGGTGTGCTGAGTAGCCAGTCATTATATATAAAGCATTTTAAATAGACTGAAATATTTTTTCATATGAAAATACAGTTTTATTTTTAATTCATTATTATAAGAAATTAAACAGTATTTAGTTTTTGTTATCAACTAGAGCATAGAAATCTATAAGTATGTTTCATTTATTTCCCATGAATATTATTTTTAAAAATTATTCTTTTGTTTTACATCCTAAATCACGACTCGTATATCTGCTTACAATTGGGGTTAAATGTTGGGTGGTTTGGTGGTAGTTTATAAATAGCAAGAAGAAATAACGTTAGTTGAATGAAGTTGCTGAAAAGCAAATATGTTCTTTTGTATCTTAACATTTAATTGTATGAATAAGTTGTGATAGATAAATTAGAAAAATAGTTTTTTATATACAGTTTATATATAGTTTTTATATGTATATGCTCCAACCTTCTTGAGGTGATATATATTGAAATTTTGAACAAATCCCTTTATTTAGATCAGGTAGAATTAGAACAATTTACTCCCATGAACTAAAAGGGTTTGATTTATCACCTGAAGAAGTCTGGAGCATACAATGATGGAAACATTGTGAATATAGCAATAAAGATGAGGACAACAGTCTGAACAATGTAAATAGTGTAAATAGTCACAATACCTCATTTCAGAAATATAGACAGATATTGAAAGGATATTTTGATGCATACTTATGAAAAGGTATACAGTAATAAAAAATAAAATAGATATCTAGATATAGATAAAATAGCTATATTTCTGACATGAAGTATTGTAACTGTTTACATCGTTCAGAGTGTCATCCTCATCTTTACTGCCATATTCATGATGTTTCAGCCGTTTTATGCTCCAAACTTCTTCAGGCGATATACGTTGGAATTTTGAACGTGAAGATTGGGAATAAGTTAAAGAAAAGAAAATAATCAAATAATAACTATCAAAGCCTTAATTTTTTTCCTAACTGGTGCCTTTGCATTCTTTAACATCAATGAAAGTTTGAAGTGCAGTTATTGATTTCCCTTATCACTCACTAAAGATTGATCCTTGAATGTTCAATGCTTTATTGCTGAAAAATACAAAATGTTAAATATTTGTTGTATAGTGGAAACTGCATCATGAAAGTGATTACTGAGGAATTTGATCCTTACAAAGTATTCATTTATGTTCCAATCTTGACTTTTAGTTTTAGCTGAACTAAAACTATGAGTGCTCAGATAAAAGAAAAAATCAACTTTTTATGCCATTTGACGTTACTGATACCTATCCAGCTCATTGACTGCCATCTGGAGCATAGAGACCACACCCTCAGATTACAGTTAATTCTCAACACTGTAATCATTCCCATGACTGATAGTATGTGCCTTAATAGGGATATATGTTTTGGATTCAGAGTTCTCCTCCTAGACTGGTTGACAACTATGAATAGAGAATCCAGTCTGTCATACTATTTAACCCATAGTTAAGGGAGCAGAGATGGATTCATACTTTTCCCAAAGGTGTTTATGTGAAAGGGAATGTAACAAATTCTATGGGAATTTGAACTAATTTTGAGTGGCTAAACATTATGCTATCTGCATATACAACTTTACTTTTATAAATTGACCTGCAAACCCTTCATATTATAGATATTGTTGTTATAGTATTCTATTATACTATTATAATATAGATATTATAAACATTCCTAATATAAAATGTGTTTGGGTTTTATTATATTCATAGCATTTTAAATGATTTTTTTTCACTAGAAAGTTTAATTTTGGATTTGTATTTTATGTGAGATTATCAAATACAGCAATGCAATATGGAAAAAAAAGTTAGCCAAATCCAGTGCAAATTTATAACTGTACAGATCCTGAGTTAAACTGATTCTGCTAAAATAGTATAAATCAAAAATAGGCTTGTATGGTGGTGAATTTATCTTAATTCTTCATTTCTTGTTTCTTTATTTGAGCAATGATTTTTTTTCTACACCCTCAGAAACTTCATTGTATATATTACCAAATGAAATCCTTTATATTTTTGGATGTGTCCAACATAATTTGTGTTGTAAATGAAAATAAAAAAAATGCTGGTGACAGCCACTTCTCTTTTATTTAATTCTTTCAAAGGAAGATTCTAGCAAAAATGGGTTGGAAACACTGATTACTTCTCTTTTGAGCTGAAATATCTTAAATTATATTACTTTACCTATGGATTTTAAGCTTACACCTTCCAAAATTTCAAAATCTTTTTCACATGCCTTGATTTTAAGGCTAAAAAATTCATTGGATGTCAAAAAGAAAATATTGTATCAAGATATTGTAAATAAAATCGTTTAATGCACTGACTGCTGTTGCTTTTTTGTGATTAACTTTGAAATGAATTTTGATGCTGACAATGGTCTGGTTGTTATGTTGAACATCCAGATGATTTCTAATTTCTTTGTATGAAATAGTTGGTTGTTTTGTTTAGCTGCATATCAACCTCTACAAGTTATTTAATGCAAAAATCTAAATATTTTGTATGCAAATTTATTTTATTTTTGGAGATAATAATGGTTTAGTTATACGAGTTTTACTAATTAACCCATAGCTGGGGGGGTTCATACTTTTCCCAAAGGTATTTGTGTGTAAGTGAATATAACAAACTCAGCTCTTCCTATTAACAATTCCAAGGCATTATTCATTACACCACTTGCTTACAGCACCTGGTATTCCCCAGCAGTCACCCATTCAGGTACTGACCAAGCTCGACATTGAGTAACTTCGGTGATCATATGAGAATTGGGGTTTCAATGTGATGTGGCTGTTAGCCTGTATGAAATAGTTATAAAATTTTTGAAAAGATATTTAGTCACAAATAGAACGACAACTACAAGAGATATTTTTTTGATGTCTGATTATTTACGTCAGTATATTCATGCACCTGTAAAATAACCTCATGAACTACTTTGGGTGGGGGTGCACCAGAGGTTAAGAACCTAATACAAGGAGTTTCCATATATTTGTACCAAAAGGAACATTACACAAACTTTGCTAAAAGGTACCATTTAAGGTATGTCAAGTACTCGATGAATACAACCTTAGAATATTTGTGTGTATAATATTGTATTCTAGCCACAGGGATACTGACTGACCTTTTTAACTGGGCAATATAATTGTACTGCCTGGCCCAGACCTTAGGCATTAAAACATTGGTTTGTGAGTTTAGAAGCACAGTAATTGTGAGTTCAATCTCTGACCTGGATATGAACTACCCAGGCCAGACTCACTCTGGGGAAAACAAGGTATACAACAACTGAGCAGAACTAAAAGAAAAAAAATTAGATATAGACAATGGAATGTAAACATTCTATTCCCATTAAGTAAAGGATTCAGTTCAGAATTTCTTAAAGATTACTCAGATTGGCACACATCAAGAATGCTGGAGAACACAATGGCTTGTGATAATAACAACAAAGATGAGGAGAACAGTCCAAATATAAATAACATAAATACCTACCTATTCATAAATTCTGAATTATATATTTCACTTGGCTAATAAAACAGAAGTAATGTGTTACAAAAATATTTATTTAAAATGCCACCAATTCCAAATGTTTGAAATGTTTTTTGCAGTTGAGGTTATTGTGCTGTAAAACAAATAGGTGATAGAATTTAGCAATGCTATATAAACTTTCTTCAGTCAAATTGTGAAATATGTATGTTCTGATGGAACAAGTAAATAGGACATCCTAAGGACAAATTAACACTGAAGAATTAATATCCCACTGTCTGTGCTTAAGGATGAGAATAATCTAACCTCATAGATGGACTAAAGGGATCTGTTCTAAATTCCTAGAATATTACCAAATGTAACATACACCTGAAGAAAGCTAAATAGTACAATGGTTGAAATGGTGTGACTAATTTGCACCTAATTTGAAGACATCAGTTACAATAATATTTGCATGTAAGCGAATATAATGAACCCAAAATGGAATTGGAACTCGGCTCTCCAAACCATTATCCACTATATCACCCACATATCCAAGCTACAGCACCTGGTATTCCTGAGCAGTCACCCATTTAGGTACTGACCGGGTTAGATGTTGCTTAACTTTGGTGATTATATGGGAATCAGCATTTCAACATAATGTGGCTTTAAGCCCCTGTTAGAGTATGTGTATGGGCATGCGGCTGAGTGGTTAGAACATTCGCATTCTGACCATGAGACCCGGGTTCAAATCTCACCATAGCCAATTTGTTAGGAAGGAAATTTCCAGAGTGGAGGGGTCGATCCAAGCATGTGGCACCTTTGAAAAGTGCCTGAAAATCATACCACGGGTTGACCCAAGCCTTGTGAGTGAAATTGTGTAGACAGACCCATTGGGTGCTGTTGATAGCTGTGCTAGCACAAAGTGACAAGTCATCATGGCCGTTGATCATGTTAGATAACACACTCTTTCCCAGAAACTGTAACTATGGTCTACTCAGCATATTTGCAGTACAAACCACAGGTGGGTTCTGTGGGTGTTGAATAAACACAAATGTGCCTGAGCAAGTGTCTGCAATAGGGATTGGCTAGCTGCCCTAGTAGATGGGTATCCTCAAATACAAGTGGCCAGCTATACAGTATGTGTATTATAATAATAATTCTTCATCTTAGAAAATTCAGACCAAAATTGCAAGATATTCTTAATGACATGGTTATTTATTTATTTTTTTTTTTTATAAATCAATAGAAAGCATCCATTGAAAGGGGAAATTCTGTGCTAAACAATGTAATGATTTACCAGTATTAATGTAAAGATTATTAATTATTCATATTATTAATTATATTGTTATTTTTAATGCTCTTTTCATTGCGTCTTATCAAATATAAAAGTTTTATTTGCAAGTCATTGGTCGTGTTTTAAAATATTTGAAACTATTGCAATAGTATGTTCTAAGATAAAGCAATTTTTCATGTTATATTCATCTTTTAAAGTAGTTTTTGTGAACTAATAATTCTGTTATCTATTTTTATGTCTTCAATTTATTCTGAGATTAAAAAAAAAATCATTTCACCCCAAGCAAAGCAATAATGGATGGATGGGGTTACATGGAGTGACAGAGAATGAGAAGAAAAAGTAAGGAAAAGGACAATAAAGGAACAGGTTTCAGGAAGACAGAAAATGGCGATTGGCATTGCATTTAAATTTTTGAAGATTGTAGGTAGTGAGGAAGCAAGAAATTGAAAGGGAGTTTCACAGGCAAGAAAACCTATTAGAATAGAACATATGGATGCATCTAGCTAGTTCAACAGTAAAACAGTGAAACCTAGTTGCCAATCTAGTAGCATGCTTAAATTCATGCAGTTGAAGCACTAAGGAGGAAAGGCAATCAGAAGAATTACCATGAGAATATTTGTAAAAAAGACAGAGGGAAACTACATCACATTGTTGAGAATGTGACTGAAGTCGAAATGCCAGGTTAAGATTGATTATATTATAGACTCTTTGAATTTTTTCAAGAATCTTGAGATATATAGTAGGAGAACTTGACCAGATATGGCAGCAGTATTCAATGCATGGATGAATGGTAAATATATATCTTAAATAAATGCTAACAAGGTTACTTGTCAAGATTTACATATTTAGAGTATAAATGTCTATGAATTGTATCTAAATATTTGAAAGTAGTGCGGATAAATTTTGGATTTAATATAATCTAAGCTTTCAGGATATTGTCTTCACTTGTAGTTTTAGTATATATCCATATTCTAAATGAACTAAATTAAATATTTAGCTGAGGACAATATTCAGGAATCGGTAACTGTTCTTCTAAAAGAACCCCTTCTTTAAACATTTTTTTTATAAATTGGTATTGAAGATTACAGCTAAAATTTTTAAATGTATTAGAGAGAAAAAAAAATAGCTACTCTTGCATCTGAGCATCTGCTAGTTTTGCATAAAAATTTTGATCTGGATGAGCAAAAACGTATTATTTTTTAAATTTTATTATTTCAAATTTTATTATTTTTTCCAATTTTTTTGATGCATTAAAAACAAATGAAAAATAAGTTTTTTTGTAAATATCTAAATGCACATAAATACAGATTTAAATAGCAATAAAAAAAACAGAAAATAAGTCATAGATTTTTCTTACCCCCCCCACCAGTTTGCCTTTCACTCTGACCCTCCCTTGCACTGAAGAAAAAAAAAAAAAAGAAAGAAAAAACCTGTTTATTATTGTTGTTTCAAGGGTGACATTGTAGCAACTGAATTTGGATTGTGCACCAAAAGACCTGCAGTGAACTATGTATTCGATTAAACCACAATTGTGCAAATGCAAGTATATTTTAAGTTGAAACTAAGTAAGGCAGTATAAATCTCTCGGTTGATCTCAGATTTAGAAAGAAAAAAATTATTTTTCTATCGATCACAAATGACATCAATAAGTATGTAAGCATAATTATTCTATTCCAATTTTTCTTCCCAATATTTACACATTTAATTTGTACCTGATGTTGTATACTTATCTTCAATATCTCTGTATTAAACAAGGTGATGTTAGTGTAAGGATTGAATGATCCCTGTTAACCCTTTTTACAAATGGTTTATGTGCTAAGATAATTTGGAGAGAAAATATATTGGATTCGTAAGAGAACCAAAAATAAAAATTGTTTTCATTTACATTAATTTTCTTTGGCTGTATTAGTCAGAGAAATGGTATCACTCTTATACTCATGGTCTGTGGAAGAACATTATGTTATTGATGGGTTCTCACCAGAAATTTATTGACTATATTTCTGTTAATGAAAAGAACTATATTTGCATGACAAAGAATTTATATCTGCAGTATTTATTTGTATTTATAATTCTGATAATTCTGATATGTGTTCTTAATTCTACTGATTTACCTGTAATTAAATGTCACCTATTAAATGGCAAAGGTTACCAGATTAGAGTTTGGGTCAACTGGATACAAGATAGATAGTTTTGTTTTATTAGAACTTTGGACCACTTTTTTGACAACCATTTTATGCCTTTCTTTGCAGTTCCTTCAGAACATGGCTGGTGCAAGTGTCTCATGTACCCACCCAAATCTATGACATGGGGGTGGGGGCACTCTACATCATCTCGATTTTCATAAGGTAGTACTCATATAAGATATAAATTTCATTATAACCTAATTATGTACAATAATGGATCATATGCAATATAGGTGAATAATTCAACTAGAAAAATTGAAAAGAAATACAATGTATATAAATACAAATTAGAGACATGTCATAATTAATCTTTTCCATCAATAATGTTTTATGGGAATTTTTAACATCAACTTGTGATTTTTCTTGTTAAAAAAGTTGAATAATTTTAACATTCAACATTATTGATAAAAAAATAGTGAATTTTATTTAGTGTTTTTTTTTTTTTTTTTTTTTTTTTTTTGAGAGTATAAAAAATTCATAGATTTGCAGAACCCCCCCCCCCCCCAAACAAACAAATCCCAGACTCATTTCATAATGAAAATGTTTCATCCTTTAATAGTGTTGTAACCTAGGAAAGAGTTACTGATTGAGGAATAACCAAAACAGAGGTTGGAAATGAAATGGTAATCTTTATAACATCAACAAAATACAATACTCACCAGCAGCATTGAAGTAGGTAAACCTAATGCTAATGCTAAGAGAGTATATTACCCTCACTTACAATAGTGTCCAATGTTTTTATGAGGATTGGGACATACCCATTGGTGTTCATAGGTACAGTATATAACAAATAGTTATGCTTTGTTTAATTTGTAATGTATATATATGTAAGTAGAAAAAAGCAAATGTTGA